CTTGTATAATATCAAGTCGCCTGTAGTATGTAATTGAATTTGTATATTCTAAATAAATAAATCACCACTGAAACAATTTCCATGTAAGCCTGGTAACTGGATATTGCTACCTACGATCTTAACATCTGGTTTTCAATTAAGAGATAGTAGGAACTGCCGATGCTGGAGTCTGGGATAACAAGGTGTGGAGCTGGAGGAATACAGCAGGTCATGCCTGCATCAGAGGAGCAGGAAAGCTGACATTTCGGGTCAGGACCCTTCTTCAGAAATGGGGGAGGGGAAGGGTGCTCTGAAATAAATAGAGGGGGGGGGGTGATAGCAGTTAGATAGTGGAGCGGATAGGTGGGAGAGAAGACAGGTCAAGGAGGCGGGGATGAAGGTAGTGAAGGTGTTTCATCTACTTGACCTGTTCGTCTTCTCTCCCACCTATCCGCTCCTCTATCTACCTGCTATCACCGCACCCCCCTCTCTATTTATTTCAGAGACCCCTTCCCCTCCCCCATTTCTGAAGAAGGGTCCTGACCCGAAACGTCAGCTTTCCTGGTCCTCTGCTGCTGCTTGGCCTGCTATGTTCCTCCAACTCCACACCTTGTTATCTCTGGTTTTCTTTTAAATTCTGATGTTGTTAGACTTCAGGTCTTTTGCATTCTTTTGCACAACTTCTGAATTTTACTGTTATTGTTTATAAAGTATTTCCACAATTATAATTCAAGGAACAGTCTTGGGGTGAAATTTGTCTTTGGAGGGAAAAAAAAAATCGTAGAATCCCTACAGTGTGGAAACAGGCCCTTTGGCCCAACAAGTCCACACCTACCCTCAGAGTATCCCTACCCAGACCCATCCCCCATGACCCACCTAATCTACATGTCCCTGAACACTACGGGCAATTTAGCATGGCCAATCTTGCACATCTAACCTGCACATCTTTGGCTTGTGGGAGGAAACTGGAGCACCCAGAGGAAACCCACACAGACACAGGGAGAATGTACAAACTCCACACAGACAGTTGCCATAGGGCGGAATTGAATCTGGGTCCCTGGTGGTGTGAGGTAGCAGTGCTAACCACTGAACCACCGTGCCTCCCCCAAAATGTGGGTGCAGATCAACCCCATTTCTTCCATTGATGCGAATGGCATCGGAAATGGCTAAGGCAGAGAGGCAGCTCAACGTGAAGGTTAATTATGTTGGATACAGTGGACCAAATGGTGAACTTCTGAAATTCCTACGGCTTGAGTATTACTGCCACATTCAAATAATGCCCAATGCTAAATGTGATACAATATATGTGGATGAATAAGCAACACAAGATTAACAGAAACAAAGTTGTTGGCAAAGCTCAGCAGGTCTGGCAGCATCTGTGAAGGAGAAAACAGAGTTAACATTTCTGGTCCGGTGACCCTTCCTCAGAACTGATGGTGGCTGGGAAAACGTCAGTTTATATACAGAAAATAGGGAGGTGGGTGGGGTAGGGAGTAAACGTGGGCAAGAAGAGAGATTGGAACGGAAATCCCGTTGGAGAGAGGAGCAGAACTTCTTCAAGGTGGGCATGCCTGGAAGAGATGTGGCAGTGAGTTAAATACTAAATAAAAAAACAAAAGAACTGCGGATGCTGTAAATCAGGAACAGAAACAAAGTTTCAGGAAAAGCTCAGCAGCTCTGGCAGCATCTGTGAAGGAGTTGCTCCTCTCTCCGGGATTTCCATTCCAATCTCTCCTCTTGCCCACATTTACTCCCTACCCCACCCACCTCCCTATTTTCTTTATATAAACTGACGTTTTCCCAGCCACCATCAGTTCTGAGGAAGGGTCATCGGACCCGAGACATTAACTCTGTTTTCTCCTTCACAGATACTGCCAGACCTGCTGAGCTTTTCCAGCAACTTTGTTTCTGTTCCTGATTTACAGCATCCGCAGTTCTTTTGATTTTTACAAGATTAACAGAGTTGAAATAAAAAAAAGTGTTGTACAGAAAATGTGGTGTAGTAACAACCCAAACAATGAGTAACAGTGGTGTGGAACCATTCATCATGGAAAAGATTAGATAGACAAGCAGAAGAGCTAAATTGATGCATTTATATAGTGTGAAGAGCTGGTAGGTTGCGTCCAGCCTTGTTAACCACTTCTAGATTGACTGCAACGAGGTGTGTTTTATCAAAGAAGTGTTTTAATTTTTGAGTCATGTGACTCTTGAAAAAAGACACAGTACACAGGGTTTTTCATTTGTAAAAATTCATTCATGGATTGTATGCTTTGCAGTTAGGCAGTATTTATTTCCTATTCCTAATTTCTCTTGAGATGGTGATGGTGGCGTTGAATACGGATAGGTGCAGTCGTACTGAAGTAAGGGAATTCAAGAATTTTAGGCTTCAGGGATTTTTGGCCTAGCAACAGTGATGGCAATGTTCAAAACATACGGGACGGCATCCTGGAAAATTCCCTCACACGAGCACCAGTTGAAGAAAAGTTGCCCTGTAGAATGGAAGAAAATGCAAGCTGCGTAATCTCCTATGTTTGCTGTTGATTAATTCATGAGCTAATTGAATGTTAGCCTTTCTTGCAAGAAGATTTGAGTATAGGAGTAGTGAAGCTTTGCTTCAACTGATTAAGAACTTGTTCAGTAGACTTCACCTGGAGTACTATGGTGGTCAGTCACAGAACACCTTCACAAGGTTGTTATTATTCTTTTGTTAAAAGAACCCCAGTTTATAAAACAAAAGTAAAAAGCTGTGTATATATGAAAGACAAATTAGAGAAGTCTTAAGCAGCAATATCCTTTTACAGTCGCTTGGTCCAAGGGATGTATCACTCCTGTCTTGACTCCGTAACTCCCTGTTTGAGTGACTCTTTCCACCCCTTCTCTTTGGATTGTTGGTGGGTCTCTGAACATTTCTTTCCGTGCAGGTAATGAAACTCAACTTTGTAAACATTCGGTTATGAACTGCCCCTGTCACTGACTGAAGCATTTAACTTAAGTTGCATGCGTTTTTTTTTGCAATTGCTGTCTTTAATTCACAATTCAAATAACTTGTTGACTTTTTTTTAATAGTAACTTTCACGGAACTGAGCACTAAAATCTATCCTTAATCCACTTTCAAATCTAAGTTTCCAAATAATAGCAATATACTACAAACCTACATAACACTTCTCCTCAACATCCCACCATCCCCCCCCACCCCACCTGTGTCTCCTTAACTGAAGAAAATAATATTGACTAAATGCAGAAATTTGCCAAAATGAAACAAATTAGACCCATGCCAGCTGATCAGGAAAGTTTAGAGTAGAGATAGGAGTGACTTTTCACTCAGGTTGGAGAATCTGTAAGATTATTCTCCCATAAATGGGAGAAATCCTTTCTTTGTACTGAGATGGTTCAATAGTTCTTTTATAATATGTTATAGTTTGAGCTTTCCTTTTATGTGATGAAATTTTATGTTCTTTTGTTCACAATACAATCACTGCCTCTATGAATATGCACTTGGGTTCATAACAATAGGCTGACATCTTAATGCACTAATGAGGGAGTGTTGTGCTGTAAGAAGGTGCAAACTTTTTGATGAGATATTAAGTCATGGATCTCATCAGAACTCTCAAGTGGATCCCCCAAGACACTAGTCAACATGCATCATGAGAGTACACAGTTAACATAAAAGAAAAGTAACGAGTGATCAAACCAAGTTTCATTCTGAGATCTGATTTTCCATTATTACCAATAGCTGGAATTGTAACATGGTTACAGTTGGATACTTCTTTGAAGAAGGAGGTCTTACTAATGTAGTGAGAAAGGATATCTCTGAAGAGAGGATGTATAATGGCAGCCAGCACAGCATTTGAAAGGAAATTGAGTGAGCAGTAACTAAGTGGGAATAAATTCAAGGAATTCAGAAGTGGCTTACATAGAAAAGTTGCGGTTGGAAAGGGTATGAGGAAAGTTACCAGAGAAACTGTAAATGGTTATAAATTCAAACAAGGGGAAGTGCTGAGTCCATGAATATTTATCTTGGCAGGAAAGTGGAGTAATGGGCATCTGCACAGATGTTAGCAGTTGTTGAATGCGAAGGAACGGAGGAGAACAGTTTAAGAAAATGACAAAAGCACTGTCTTGCTTTTCCAGGATGATTATAATATTTCAGGTGATTTTGACAGGAGTGTGGGAGCCAGTAGTATTTGATGTGTTCCAACCAGACCTGTTGCCTAATTGTATTATGTAGTCTTGTTTCATGGACATGAAGGAGTACAGATTAATACAAATTGTTTTTATTGTTCCTGCAATTTGTTGGATCAAAGATTTATTGTGTCAGTTTCTAGGTGAAAATCTGGTTTTTCTTAAAAAAAACAATACTGTGCCATTTATTTAAAGCTTTAAAGCTGGCTACTGAAAAAGTGTTGCTGTTTCCACATTTCTGGACTTTCTCTTGGTGAACACTGAGAGTACTGGCAGGATGATTAACTACCTGATTAGCCATATAAGATTATATAATGCAGACACTGGGAATTTGAAACAAAAGAAGAAAATACTGAAGAGACTCGGCAGGTCTGGCAGCATCTGTGGAGAAAGAAACAATTAACATTCTTGAGTCTGATATGACTCTTCAAAGTCATTTTCTGTTTTCTTTAATTTCTAATTGGACATATTGTGGACATCCCTTTCATATCCATCACAGTTCCCTCGTTGGACCTTCAACTCTGGGGATGTGGAGTGCAGGGCCTTCTGTTTCAGAGATAAAAGTGCTGCTAACTAGACTTAAAGACCACACAATGAATTAAGTTAAGTGCTGGAGGAATGGATTAAAATTTGTTTGTAATTGCTCATTTTGAATAGTGAAGTAGGTGCCCTCTACAGATAAGGGTAATTATTATTATACAACTGTAGTTTTATTCTTTCCTGATTGCGAAAGCTGTACTTGTGGCAAGATGAATAAAAGGACCAAACTTGCTTCTTTACCCCTGTAATGATCTCCTGCATTTCTGACATCACACAATTTTTCTGTAACTTTTTCATAGGGTTATCTACCAGCAAATATGGAGAGAAGGGAAATCACTTTACAGCGAAAGCGAGAAGAGTATTTTGGGTTCATTGAACAATATTATGACTCTAGAAATGAAGAACATCACCAGGATACCTATCGACAGGTATTACACTTGTTTTATTTAACACATCTTTTAATTGTTAATATTGTAGTTACTGCTATAATTTGAAATGTTAAAATCAGACTTGTGTAAAATGAAACTGCTAAGTATTGCTGAAAAAAAGATGTTTAAGATTTTTGACTTGTACTCATCAGGACAGCTTGCAAGAATACCAATTGAAAGGGAAAACCACCATTTATACTGTATGTGAGGGAGTGCTGATTGATTGGCAAGTGTTAATGATGATGGACAAGTAAATGACAGAATTTGTTTATTTTTTAAACCAGGCAGGTTGACTCTGGTCAAGACATTGGCCTGAGAAATGAACCACCAAACAGTCATTTTTGTGTTGAAACAGGCCCAGTGTGTTTATATATGTTCTTTCTGTCTGCAAAGAGCGGGGTCCTGTGTATTAATGTATATAGCTTCCAGCGCAAGTAGGTGCATCACACTGCAAGCCAAACATTCTTCAGCAGTACCTCAAATTCCAAACTGTCAAAATCTGCTTAAATGATTTGTTTGTCATTAATTTAGCTATTTATTTTATTCTGTAAGAAGTAAATGCTGCATTACCTGCATGCCCAACTGTGCACGTAGGATCAAAACTGCATGCCAAACACTGATGAGCTCTGGCTGTAAAATTCCTACTCTGTAGTACTAATTCTGACATAAGGAGTGGAAGTTTAGAATGGGTACTTTTAATTTAAATGATGCCCTTTTGTTTGAACTTTCTTGAACTTGAATTTGATTGGACATGAGTACGAATGATTATGTAATTGGAAAGTATTGTTTTAAAGAAGTATAAGATGCATGCATGTATAATGTGGTTTTCACAACCCTAAAAGTCCTAACTGATTCCTGAAAAGGGCATTGTAAGGGAGCTGGATTAATGTCTAGAAAAGGAATCATATGGCATTTTTAGTAATATTCACAGTTCAGTTTTGTTTGTTTTGCTCCACTATACCCTTCACATTATTATGTTCAATGGCTTCTTAGAAGATAATTTTCTTGATAACACGTAATTCTGAATGAGTGAATTTTACATGAGTAGTCGAAAAAAGTAAAATATGTGAGTTCTTCATTAAAAATGTATTTCTGCACAGGAAAAAAGCCTCAAAATTAAGTAAAACGAAAGGTAACTCTTTGTTAAACTGCTTTGAATTAATCTAATTTTCACTTGTGTTTATAGATTCACATTGACATTCCCAGAACTAATCCCTTGATTCCCCTCTTTCAACAACCTTCTGTTCAAGAGGTGAGCAAACCAAAATGCATTTCCTACTAATATTTCTAAATAATATTGATTGTAATATTGATAGTAATTAAAGTATCATTTTTGATGTTGGTTATACATTGTTTTATTATTTTGGAAGCCTAGTTGTCCCTTTTTAAGTGTCCTGCACATTTTAATTAAATAATTTGTTTAAAATTTAGTACAAAAATTAGATATGCTTGTCATGGAAGACTGTAGTAAAAACCACCTATGTTGGGATCCTTTGATAATTGCTGCTTGAATCTTAGTTGGTTGGGCAAAATATGTTAATATACCCGTGCTTGCTTAGGCTTAATTTATGCCAGCATGTTAATTTGCTGAGAAAATTTTAGCACTGGATCACACTTACACGTTGGATATAGAGCAGCAAATATACACTGACAGCTATGTAAATAGATTGCTTGCTGTTGAAGTAACACAGCATTGATCCAATTATAACGATATTTTTATAGTTGGCAAATGATTGAGCACTCTAAAATTCTTTGCATATCTTGACATACATCAAAAAAAATCCTGTTCTATTTTCTAAGATGTTTCTATCCTCCTCCAGTTGATAGTTAAACCTATGGCTAGTTTTCATGGCCATTGAATACAATACTTAGTAACTTAGGACTTTAAACTATTAATGCACTTTTGCTACCGTGGCCGTAAGCAGTGTTTATAACATGTTTTTTTGGGAATAACTATAGCTGAAAACCAAGCTAGAGCAAATGAGTCCGAATTATTTGAGAATCTTTGCTTGTACCTGACCTGAAACTTTAACATGGGACTGTGTAAGGCGTGTGTGGACTGAATTTCAAAGCTCCAAACTGTTGTTCACTGGGGACTTTGCCATTTACACAGGATTATACCAGATATGTGCCACAGAAACAAGTGTCTGGCTCAACCAGTCCATGCCAGCATTATGTACCATCCATGCCTTCTCCCAACTTTCCTCATCTGAATCGAACATTGTACCCCTCTGTTCCTTTCTCCTTCATGCTAGTCTAGCTTCACTAAAATGTATTTATACTATTTGTTTCAATTCATCCCTATCATAGCAAATTCCACATTTTACTACTTTTTGGATAAATAAGTTTCTTTTAAGTTCAAATATGTTGTCCACATCTCACCACACATACCTGGACCATTTCAGCAGAGAGAGAGCTGATTTTTTTATTCTGACATATTACCTCTTAAGCAAAGAGGGATGTGTGTAAAGTCTGTGTTGATGTAAAGTTTATTTGGGACTTAATAGGTCACCCTGTCTTCTGTATCTTATTAGTGTTCCTCATTTAAATTGTTTGTCCCTGTTGATTGAGCTTTGAATGGGATATTCTTAACAGTCCAGTTGCTGTTACCTTGCGGTAAACTGATTGGGCTGTAGGGAAGGAGCAGCCGAATAGACTGTTTCTTTGAAATCTGTTTCAAAGAATTAGCTTAGTTACAAGTATCTAAGCAGCTGCCTTCTGTGCTGTATCATCCTATTCTTTGAAGAAAAGGGAAGGTCATTCAGCTATTGTTTTTGGCTCTCTTAGGTAGAGCTGGAAAACTTCAAACTTCCCTCATCAACCTCTGCCTTCAACTGATGTTATAATATGTCTATTATGATAATTAGATTTTATTGCCATGAACAAAATGGTAGATTTAAACACAATACACTTTTGAAGCAAATTATACTTCATGCATTATACAATTTGACGTTCTCATAATCAAAAACAGCATGCCACCTGACTTTGCAACAACAAAATCAAGGGAAAAGGACAGTGCCTCTGTGTTTGCCTAATGGTGCAGCAATTTAGAACTTGCCAGTTTTGAGTCTTCGGTGTTACCATGGGAAGTCATTAATTTCTGTCATCTGATTAGGTTTGAAGATCAAGTTTTAGCAATGTAGTGTCCGTTTAGAAATTTCATTGGCTGCATGTCCTATCATTTAGAAAGATTTATATTTTTGTACTTTGTAAGTCCCTTACGGTCCTTGCCAATTAATTCCGTTGCTTTGTGCATTTTTTTTTGGGCTTGAAGCAGTAGAATTCTGTTTTGAAAGAACTTTATTTTTGGAAAGTTTCATGTTTGTTTTCTGTATAAATTGAATGCGAAAGCCTTCTGTCTACTTTTAAACGTGTTTTTTTTTAATATAGTAGTTTCCTTTGTTTAACTTTACATTTAGTACATGAAAATATTTTAAGGTATTTGTAATAGTGGAGGCAGTGATGCAGTAGTATTTTCACTGAGCGAGTAATCTGTAGACTCTGGCTAATGCTCTTCGACATGAGTTCAAATCACATCACGACAGATGGGGAAATTTGAGTTCAATTAACAGACCTGAAATTAAAAGCAACTCTAATAGTGACCATGAAGCCATTATCATAAAAACACCATTGGTTTACGAATGTCCTTCAAGGAAGGAAATCCGTCATTCTTCTGTAGACTGCTCTAAATATGACTGCAATACTGTCTGAAATGGCCTGGTAAACCATTCAGCTGTGTAAAATAGATACAAAATCTGGTGAAAGAGTGAATTACAGTTCAGGCATGACAACAGCACATACAGCTCTGTTAACCATGCAAAGTTTTTCTTACTATAATATCTGGGGCATGTACCAAAACAGAGTGACCCTACAGACTTGTAAAGCATCAGCCTGGCATAATTATTTGCACCAGTCGTATCTTTACAAGCAACGTCCCAGGCACCACCACTACCAGTAGGACAGACCTAGCAGATGTTGTGGCATAGTGATATACACTAGGAAGGGATTGCCTTGGGAATTCTCAACATTGCAACACAGTGAAGACCTATGGTATAAAATCAAACATGGACAAGGAAACAATTGTGTAAGAGCTCTGGGCCCTAATAACAACTTTGTGATACTCCATAAGTGACATTACCACAAATCCTCTAGCCAGATCGATTGAGCCTCTGATCTAATGGAATCCACTTGAGAAAATGCAAGGTCACCAACCTTGCTTCAAGTGTTTCTTTACCTGGTCATAGGTTTTCTGATCTACCAATTGAAACAGATGAATCAAGTCCAAGACTTGGAGAGGGATAAGCAAGAAAAGGATAGAATGTAAATGTTGCAAAAAGAAGTAATTCATGTAACTCATTTGACAACATAGGAAGGAATATTGGGTATGGCACAGGTTAGTGTGGCGTAAACCCACATCAGTTGTTGCTGGGTCAAATTCCTGGAATTCACCCCCTATCAACACTGTGGATGAAGCAATTCCACATGGACTGCAGTAGTTCAAAAGGCAGCCGATCATCGTCACCTCGAGGCAGTTAGGGGTGACTGATAATATTAGCCTAGTCACGGATGTCCACATCCCTTGAATAGATTAATTTATTTTTATGTTAGTGGTCACTTTTCTCGTTCTGTAATTCCCTAGTTTAATGTATCAAAATTTAAGGTTCCATGAATATTTATTTAGTATTATAACGAAGTATTAAAATAACATGGCTTGCTAGCAGTCATTAATAATGTTTCACAGAATCCCATCGACTGTGTTAAATTGTGTACTATAAAATTGGAGACCATTGCTTCTCAAACCTTTTCCTTAGGTGATCCCATTTCGAGACTTAAAAATTTCCATCATGTGTCAACAACAACAAGAGACATGTTTCTAAGTGTTTAATTGGCTTTGATTTTTAACAACCTACCTTTTTCCTGGCATTTTTAAGGCAGAAATCAGGCCTCCAAGGTCAATCAATCAAGCCTCGTACAACATTTTAAGAAAAACGTGTATTTTTAAAATGGATCTTGTAGCTGTTAATATTCAGTTAGAGCTTCATGACAGCTGCCTAGCTCAGAACTTGCAACCTTAGAACTTGGTTTTGTAACTTTACTGTGGTTTCTGACCCACAGTTTTGCAAGCCCTAAAATTGACTATAATTCTTTGGTTAATATGCTGTTATAAGTTCAATAATTCCAAGTTAAGTGTTGCATGAGTTTGTCATCATCATGACATCCCCACACATTGCTTCAAATAAGGTTGCCCGCACTGCTATTAGCAATAGATTCAATGAGATGGCCTGGTAAGCCATGCCTTGTTGGCATTAATCTACCAGAACTGAAAATATCGATGTTAAGGGAGTTTATTTAGAGGTTGGAGACTCTGTGGATTAACAGAACTTTGAATTACTGAAATGGGCTCATGATCCGTTATTGAACTTGTAAAAGGCAATTTTGGGTATCTAAATTCTTCAGTGAGGTAGACACATTGGATAAAACAGTTGGATTACATAATTATTGAGATTTTGTTACTGATTTCCTCAATAAATTACCTACTGCGTAACTATGGAATGGAAATATTTGCATGTCACAAAAATGCTATTAAAATATTGGAGAATAGTCTGAAAGAGATGTTATTGGAGGGACAGATAGCCTTGAATTATCTTGGGCTAATGTATACCAGTGATGTAAGTATCATGCTAAAGTACTGTCAAATGTAAGGCTAAGACATTGAGAAATATTGAAACATTTTTCTCAAGTCATGTTAGAATTCTGGTTTAAATTTCATTTGTTAAAATGTCATATAAAAATACTTGAATGAATAATATGTCTAGCTCAACTCAGCAAAACCATAATGAAGAGAAGAAATACCTGACCTATTTAAAAATTAGTAATTAATTGTGAATATTGTAGCTGTTTTGTTTAGTTGCGTAAAGTATTTGTCCTCCAGATTAAGCTGATAATAGATATTTTAGATTGTGTTTTGAAGCTAGGTAGGTGAACTTTTGCATGGTCACGTTTCTCTCCAAAATTGCTGTCAGGTAACCATAAGAAAAATTTGAGATTTAGAAACTGATCTTTCCAAGTCATATTAGACTCCTTTGGACTGTCTAATGGATTTAACAAACTTGGAGCATGCTTTGAAGGTGTGCTTCAGGGTATCTATTACCTGGGCTACTTGCTAGACAAGAGATCAACTTGGCTTTCTATTTTCCATATTAGACATTACATAAGTTACTTGTTACTGAATGAGTAAATCTCATTTGTAGA